AGAGGTTATATAATTTAGTGGTTAAAAATATGTAGACTTTTGAATGGGACAGGCTAAATAAGAACCCAGCAGCTCTGTGATTTGGAATAAATTTCTTAATTTCTTACATTTCCCTGTTGTCTCAAGTGCACTGGAAGTTATAGTGTTTCCTGTTGTAGACAGGATTTTTTTTTAAGATTTATTTTATTTTATTTATGCATAGAAGAACTGGGGTATAGATCAGAGGTGAAGGGGGTAAGAGGATTCACCAGAGACAGTGGGGAGCAGAACAGGCAGATCTACTGAAATACACTGCTGAGGGGAGCAGCGGGTGAGCCAGGAGAGGTCCGCTGCACCATGTGGGGGGCAAGACAGAAGAGGATTGCTGAGCCATGTGGGTTAGCTCCTTGACCGGGTATTGAAGTTAGGCCTTCAAGGTGATAGTGCTGAGACTTAACCCCCTAAGCCACCAGAGAGGCTCCCTGTAGTCAGGATTCAATGACATACTGTTAATGCTGCTTCTCAGCAGTGGATTCTCATGTAGGTGATCCTCACATTAGAGTGAAGAACCTTATACTAGACCTGCAGGTTGCCCGAAGCAGGCTGCCACAAAGGAGACTTCAGTATTGTCTCAGTCTTCACACTCACATTATATACAGATTTTGCATTCTATTCTTCAATATATTTGTTTATTTCACTCAACTGGAAGTTGCAGGAGTACAAGATGTTATTTCTTCTATAACATCCAAGAAATAGTTACTAAATTTTTAAATACATGTACCAATAAGAGTTTAAATTACTTAGCCACAAGAACAGTTGGGCCTCCATAATGGCAGCCATATCTTTATTATTTATTTTGCCACTTATACTTCTTTACATCCCTGAGTATACCCATATTCAAATTTGAGAAGCATTTACTTAGCAGGATGCCTGAAGCCACAGAAGGTACTTGTTTCTATTATCATTTCTCTACTCTGTACTCCCCTACCTCATTATTTCTAAAGTTCTATGGGCATTTTATTAAAAAAGATATTATAAAGGACTAGTAAAGTCAGAGACTGGGAGAACATTGAAGGAGCCTGTTTGTCTCTAACCACACTCACCACCTAAGAACTCTATTTCCTATACATTTTTGGCTCCAGTTTATAACATTTCGTCAAAACTTCCTAGAGGCAACAAGCAGTAAGATAGAGAGCATATTTTCTCTCCTCTTCCTCTAGGTCAAGTAATCTGAAATTCATAGATGACCTTCATGGCACCTAGGAGCTCCTTGAAACTTGGTCTTCTTAAAAGTTACTGAAGAGGCCTCCCTGGTGGCACAGCGGTTGAGCGCTGGGTTGCGAAGCTGCCCGCAGCCTCTGCGGCGCCGGTTCGATCCCTGGCTGCTCCCCAGCCACTGGAGGAGGGTCCCACATGGCGTGCAGACCTCTCCTGCCTCCCGCTGCTCCCCTCAGCAGTGTACTTCGGTCCTTCTGCCTGCTCTGCTCCCCGCTCTGGCTCTGGTGAATTCTCTCACCCTCCTGCGCTTCTGACTGTACCCAGTGCTTGTATAAATAAATATAAATAAATAAATAAATAAATCTTTAAAAAAAAAAGTTACTGAAGAAATGGCTTCTCATAGGAATTCCCATACTCAAAATATAGGAAACCACTTGCCCTAGAACATTATGTAAATTGAAATTAGAGTTGACTAATCTTTAAGTTATACTTAATAATTCATTTAGTTCCTTGGAGATTATGCAATATAATAATTTCCAGTTGGAAATCACCAAACTAAGATTAGACTTAACCACAAGTCACCTCTTCTTCTTCTCTCCACTCTTGCCTCCCCAACCATGTTTGAATGTTATTTGGGCTTTATATACTCTTTACTAGATATTTGTGTTTTGAACCTAGCATGCCTAATGCATATCTTTTCAATCTTAGCAAAACTACTATAGGTAATTCTTTATATTTCAGAGGCAAACAATTTGCACATATGAGGTGAATATCAGTTAGTGAGAAAGGGCACATATCAATAAAATAACACTTTGAACTGAACAAAAATAAACCTATGTAGAGTAGTACATATTCTCAAAATTACATAGCAGATTGTAAGTCAAGAAGTGGGAGCCTTTGATGCTTATGAATTTTGTGAGAACTCTGGGATTAAATTTTTAACCTTTATATTAAATTTGAGATAGATGTTATTGTTTTTCATTAATATATAAAGACAACAATTATGTTCAATAAAATTTTCAATTTAATTTGACTTTCATTTGTCTTAGTCTGTGACATACACACTGTGATTTTTCTCTCCATCTTGGGTTCCTGTCATTGACAGTCTGTGTGTCATTGACATCCAGGAAAGCTAGTTTTTCATTCCAGACCTTGGATATATTAGTCAATCTGGGTACAAATTACATTGAACTCTTTTGATCACATCAAAAATTTAATTTTGTCTAACTTTTTTGAATGAATGCTCCTTGAAATTTAGAAAGGGAAGTTATGTTCTTAAATATAAGAACATAAGAAGTATACTAAATATAGTTTAAATAGGGCATGGTATATTATTGAGTTAGTGGATTTATGATATGCAATATAAAAATGGTTAGTATTTTACATAGAAAATCATAAATCATGTTTTTTTTCCTGTTTCTCAAAGGTTGTAAAAGAAAGTAAACTCAATAAAAGCTTGTAAGGAGGGCCTCAGAAGGAAGAGAGAGGAAGGAAGAAAGAGGAATTTAAAAGATGTTATGGTACAATGTCCTAGGTTTATGGAAGAGACTGGAATATAGTAAAATTTAGTGCCTTGAAGTCTTTGAAGACTAATCAGTCTTAAGTTTATTTATATATATATATTTTATATACATTTTAAGTTTGCATATATTTTCAATAAATCATACATAATTTAATTATGTTGCTTAAAGTTTTCATTAAACTCATCAATTTGAGGAAGCAATTTGGAAACATTGGAGACCCCCAGCATCTCATGTTAGCATATGTTATGGTACAGATTTTCATCTTAAGCCTTCTTGTTCAAGGAGAGGACCATTAGCCTTCACACTTAAATGTTCACGGACAGAGTTTCACTTTGACCATAGGGGAAATTTTGTCTTTGGAGGATCTTTTATGATAGTGTATTTGTCCAGAAAATTTTCTGAGAATTGAAGTCTCTTTGATTGCCAGTTTTTTGCTTTAGACTTGTTCAGTGCTAAGATGTTTAATCAGATCTTTCTACTTGATATCTTTAATACAGTTTGTTTTGCATTCTGGAGGCCTTATGTGAAGTGTTTAAAATCATGGTGTCAGAGAGACAAGAATTCAATCAGCATATATTAAGTCCTTGATAAATTTAAGTGGAGTGGGGGTGGGGAGATGCTTTGTTTTCTAAGCATCCTTGTTTGGTTTATTAATTTCTTGTGCATCTTCTGTTGTTTCAGTTTGTCCTTCTATGAGAGAAGCTATCAAAACAGTGGTAGGCAGACCAAGTCCCATAATAGCTTATTTGGCTTGTGAATTGAATATGGCAAAGGAGAATTGTTAGATTTAAAACATAGAATGAGAAACTCTTAAAGTCAGCTCACCCAAATCTGAAATTTTCATCACATCACTGAAAATGTGTTTGGGTAGAGGGAGGACGGAAACATTAATTTAAAATCACTTTGTCAGAGGGGACATTCCTCAGCTGGCAAAAAGGGATAGACAAGTCACCATCAAATCCTCATTCGGCACCAGACCAAGCCAGGGCAGCTTCAAGCCAAGTCCTCAGATGAGGGTTGACAACGCATAGGGGTGTTGAAGTTGTCCAGAGCATCTTCTGGTCACTAAGCACACTAAATTTACCATCAAAACAGCTTCAGTTTATGAAAGCTTGACATTTCTTTATCAAAATTAGCTACAATTTGTCATCTACTACACAGTAAAGCTTTTACCTATGTTAGTCAAGCTACCTAATATGTATGCACTCCTAGAAGTGGTCTACCCATATTGTAGACACCGGTCAAAGGTGGTTTTTTGAGCCCTTGAAATGTGGTAAGTGAATGAAAAGCTGTGTGGATGTTCCTTAAAACACTAAAAATGAATCTACCATATGATCCAGCAGTTCACTCCTAGGAATCTACCCAAACAATACACACAAAAAAAGTTAATTCAAAAGGAAACCTGCACTCCTATGTTTATTGCAACACTCTTGACAATAGCTAAGCTATGGAAACAATATCCCCAAAAAAAGCAAATGGATCAAAAAGATGTGTTACAGATACACAATGGAATATTACTCAGCATTCAAAAAAGATAAACTCATGCCATTTGCAGGAATATGGATGGAGCTGGAAAGGATACTGCTAAGCAAAATAAGCAAGACGAGCAAGATAAATATCAGGTAGTTTCACTTATATGCAGACTACAGAGAAACAAACAAAGGGTCAGGATAAAGACCCAACTTGCAAGCTGACCATATATCTAAGGCATACAGTAGGGGAGGGTGAAGGAGGGGGCTCAAAACAGGGGAGGGAAGAGCACAAGGGACTCTGGTGATGGATCACTATTGCTATGGTGGTGGGAGAACTACAGGGACTACACCTAAGGGGAGAAATCAAATACTGTTCAAAAATTAACAACAGCATAAGAGAATAAATAAATAAATTTAATAAATCAAAAAAGAAATGGGACAAGTGAGACTGAGAAACTAATGTTTAATTTTCATTAATTTTTAATTAATTTAAATGTGAATTGATGAATGTGGTTCCTGACCATGCATTGAATGGCACAGCTCTGGGTAATACTCATAGGATTCACATAGAATGAAATTGACAGAGTGGTTGGCACTCCTTGTGGTGGGAAATGCTGTCTTATTCAGAGTGAGAGTTACATCTTTGGGAAATTCTGAGCCTGGATCGCCTTAATCCGTGGCTATGGGTGACAAAATGGGCTTTCCATTCTTTAGGAGCCACCGATCGCATCTACACCTACATTTGCTTTTCTACTCCCACAGTAACATTGAATATATTTTAATTTCTTGTTTTTTCTTTGATTTTCAGTTCCTTAACCATCAGTCTGTGGCCTGCCTCTTCAGTTTGTGTAAGTAAAAGTGGTTTCTTTTATCTTTCAGAAAAGTGTCAGATTTGAGAAATTTTGGTCTTTATTGCCTTGTTTTCTAGATTGATTTTGTGGTTTTCGGCGTTTGTTCAGTATGTATTTGTGTGTGTGTGTGTGTGTGTGTTTGGAGCCAATGCTGTTGTTGGTGGTAGTAGTTGCTATCCAAAAGGGGGCTGAAAAGACTAGTGGCTTTATCCACTGGACTTATATAAAGACTGTGTTTTACTCAGCTGCAGCTGCTGTTTGCAAAGGCCCCCCCTTTTCAACGACAGCTTACATTCCTCAGCCCGTCACGGCAACAGTTGGGCTTTGGCTCCACAGACAGTCAGTGGGCAACTATTTATTCTTCAGTAATACACCCTTTCCTACATCCAGTGGTTTTAAATTTTAACTTCTAGAGCAGAGTTTTCATTTATTGACAAAATTTATAATATCTTCTCACTTAGAAGTATAAGACTTCAGCCATTTAGGCTACAATTGTGTGTAAAATTGTAAAGTCCAGGACAAAGAAATAGAAATACAGGATTCCATGTGCCATGTGCCAGGAACCCAAATAATCAAAGTCATTACATGAGACAACACCAGAGAGATACTGCGGTAGTGGTAGTCATGTCATGTGATAAATAACCAGCATCCTTCTAGTTTCTTCTCACTCTCTGGTAAGCACTGTCTCTTATTCACAACATTCTGTCTTGCTTCATTGACTCCACCTCACTCCCAGGTATTTCTAGTGTAATCATTTGCACAGAAAGGGTGTTCCCATGGCTCTTAGGTTTGTCTGTGGCTTCTACTAACATTCCTAGAAACTAGTGGCAAAGATATTTAAGGGAACAGAATTCTCCAAAGGATGCTAAGGCTAAAGTCTAAAGTGACAGTTATTTGACAGAGAAAGGAGATTGATTAAACTCCCCGAAGACTGATCCGTGTGGAATGCATTTATACAGCAGGGATGGGTCCTCTCTGCCCCTGACACGTCTTATTATTCTTCATTCTCAGTGTTGATAGAGTGGGTCTGTCAATGTTTGGTAGGGTGTCAGCGTGCATGCTTATGGTTACCACTGTGTGGTTCCACATCCCCACCTCAGTTACCTAGCACTGCATATTTCTAGTCCTCTGACTGGCAAATCATTTTTGTTACAGTTCTTTTGTGTAAAAACAGTTCACATAATAGCTCTGTGTTAGACAAGGCATGAATCCTCACATCACCAGGGATGAGTCAGCACAGTGCACTCCTGCCCGCACGGCTCAGCTATTATGACGTCAGCACTGTAGGGTGAGCCTCAGACACAGCAGCACAAGGGACCGCAGACCTGTGTCACAGATTAGAAATCGAGGGACTGACCTCTGAGATACAAAATGTAATTGAAAGGCTGTCCCCGGCTCGTAGGAAAATGTGAAACTGATTCTATGCTTACATCAACTATCAGTCGTGCCGCTTCTAGAGAGATCTAGTTTTTCACCAGAGATACGATTGGTAATGTTGATAGTCCACTCATGTACCCACTGACCTTATCCCACCCCTGGGCCAGGATTCATGCAGGTTTGGATTGTTACAAATCCCGAGGCTGCCTTTATTTCAAGGGTGACAGGGCCTGTAACAGTCCTGCTGTCCTCAAGTGCCCCAAAGTCACAGCTGATGGCTCTGGGGGTGGTGCCCCAGATGCCCATCAAAGGGAAAAGAAAATTTCCTTGGGAACAGATCAGAACAGTAGCTCCCTGCTGCTTTCAGCTCCTAGTATCTCTTCAATGGCCTCCTCCAGACAGGTGTGGAGTTCTGCCTGTTTGACTTTCTCTCCTTAGCAATGCATTTAATCCAAAGTCCCAATCTGGATTGACACAGATTTCAATAGGACTGAATAGTTTCCAGATGTTCCCCCCAAGAGTTTTCCATTCCATTACTCTTTAGCAGAAACAATGAGGACTCCTCCATAACCTGCAATGCTGCCTTGAAGCAGGTAGCACAGACTTTTCCTATTTGGGAAACCAGATTCTTATAAATTAGACCTTTCTGATTATGATTCAGATTCATTCTCAGGACTTTACCTTTCAGTATTAAAAACTACGTTTTGAAAAGACTAAAACTTTGCTTCCTCATGACATCCTCTTTAAAAGTCATTCTTCTCTGGGCCTCCCTGGTGGCATAGCAGGTTGAGTGCCGTACTCTGAAGCTGTCCACAGCCTCTGCAGTGCAGGTTTGATCCCTGCCGGCTGGTGAGAATCCCACATGGCACAGCAGATCTCTCCTGTCGTGCCCGCTGCTCCCCTCAGCAGTGTATTTTTGTCGTCTGCCTGTTCTGCTCCCTGCTCTGTCTCTGGTGAATCCTCTCACCCTCCTGTGCCTCTGGCCTGTACCCCAGGGCTTGTATAAAAATAAATAAATCTTTAAAAAAATAAATAAAAGTCATTCCTCTCTTACACAGTCTTACTTACACCTTACCCATCCCAACCAATCACCAGCCCCTGTAATTAACTATCAGAAAGTGCCTCACTGCTGGGATCTTCTGCCTCCATTAGGTTCCTACCACATTTATAGAAGCTGTCTGACTTAGTTTTGATTATCCTGCACAGTCCTTGATTCAGTTTTCAGTCAGCAAACATTTAAGGAAAGTTATCTGGGAACTCTAAGATAAATAAGAAATGCTGCCTTTTGTTAAGAGTCTCAGAGCCTGGCAAGGGAGATAAATAAGTAAACAAAGGCTATGCCATGTGATAGGCACCAGAATGGAGGCATATACAAGGTGTAGTGAGGGGGATGAGAAGGGAGTGCCCACCTGCATGTGGAGAGGTGCCCAAGCTGAGTCTTAAAAGTCTAAAGAATGAATGGCAGTTTACCAGGTGGATGTGAGCGAGGGGAAATAAAAAGGAATCTTGATCAGGATTAAAAAAAAAAAAAAAAACGAGCATTTACAAAGTTAGATGTGGAGCAGCAGCCGTGAAAGGGGAGCATAAGAGATGAGGCTGGAAAGTGAGCAGGAGGCAGATACCAAGGGCCTTATAAGCCCTGCAGAGGAGTTTCAACTTGATGCTACTGAGTTAAGAAGCTTTGAAATTCTGAACAGATTTATGTTTTAGGAAGAGAGCATTCTGGAGAGAGGGGAGATGACTGGCTGGGAAAGGGAGACCAGATCAAACGTGAACATCAGGGGCCTCGAATGTGCCGTGGGTAGGGGCCCGGAGGGGAAGTAATTTGGTAGCGCTATTATAGACACTGGCATTTGCATAATGCCAGCATATCCTGACTCAGTGCATAATCCTTGCCTTCTAGAAGAAAGGCCAGAATACATCTTTATAGGAGCTTTACCAGAGACCTCAAGTTAATCTGCTCTGACCTCAACTCCAGCTGCTGCCCACTCATCTCTTGACATGTGTGTCTCCTTTACCCAAAATGAACTTGGGGGAGTGGCAGGAAGCTTAGAACAAGACATTGCCAGTTCCTTGCTTTTCTCTCCTTTCACCTGATAATGAAACAATTTTTAATAATGCCCCCCTGAAGTCAGTGTCCCAGTTTCCTATCTTTTCCCCATTGCTGCCTTTTCGTAAGCAGTTCCAAGTCTTTGAGCTGAATTGCGACTTATGCTCAGCCGGGTGTTGAAACAATTCAGTACATTCATTCCTTCTTTCTGAATTAGAGTTCACCATAAGTGTGCTTTTCTCTTGTTCACTTTGGGCTGCCAGGACAATTTAAAGAAAATTTTCAACAGCTTATGTTTCAAGTACCATGTTCTCTTTTGCAAATGGGAGTATATGCGTGGGTGTGTTTAAGTCTTCTCTATATTGCTTCCTAGAGAAACGTTTGAGAAGATGAACAAGACAAGGAGTAGGGACCTATTGAAAGCCCAGGTCCCCCTAGTGACCTGAGTATAGAACGTAGGCTGGCGATCAGATGGTCAATTATGTGTTTGTCAAAACACAGTGGGCTGCATTCCAGAATGCCAGCTTTGGAGGCCCAGCTTCTGCCAACCAAATGTCATCTGGGAACATGCAACACTGGGCACTGTGAAGGAGTTTGAAATAGACCATGCCACAGCCAACCTACTGCCAGTCTTATAGCACCAATATGGCATGCACAGCCGGGCCCCATGTTTCAGAGCTCAGGAATTCACTGTACTAAATTCAAGAGGTCAGATGGGTTCATGTTTTCAAAGCCTATGTTCTCTGCTTTGAACATTGTGACTTGCTCCTCAGCAATTTCCAAGGGATTTTTCCAGTCACATCTCTGTGGAAACCACTCTTTTTGTGATGGTTATGAGAGCCTTGTTAATGTCCCAGAGGAGAGGAAAAAAATAAACTTGCTCTGACAATGACTGTGACTCCAACAGAGGGATTCCAAGTCTTAGGAAATTACATTAAAGGTGCATAGCTTTTAAAATATCAGGAACCACCTTGGCAACTTATAAAAAGCAGAAGGGCTTTGCCTATTTTATAAAGTGATTTGCATATACCTGCATAAATAATGTCCCCACCTGTACTTTTATGCATTTAGGTTGAATAAATTAAATTCCGTGATCTTTAAAATATACACTGTCTTTCATTGCTCAGATACCATTTTCAGGACCCTTCCTCATTTTTTTTCCTGTGATAATAATGGTTATTTTTTTCAATCCTTTGACTGATTTAGGGACTCGAAACACTCGTAGGACCAACTCTGCCACAGCCAGAAACATTCCCTCCCTCTGCTTGCATTTCTCTTAGCCTTTCTACCTATCAGACCATGCATGCCATATGCTTTTTATAAAGGAAAATGGGGGAATGCATTGCTAAGATGAAAACATAGCACAAGATAAGATTAAATTCTACCGCCTATATGTCTATCTAGACATGCACTGATACACGTCTCAGGAGCACACCCATGTTAGCTTTTTCTTTCTTTGGTCACTATCAAAACACCTTCAGAAATTATCCAGCCACTAAACATATCAACTGTAACTTCAATCTTTATAGCAAGGTCTGGTCAGTAGGCCAGTTTCAAGTGTAATCATCCC